AGAGTTATAATGCTCCCCATTTGTAACTGTCCAGAAGTTGACACAGATCTGCAGAAGTTACCTAAATTGTACATCATACATCATTGCTCTGCACTGGCTTTTTTCCTGAGCTGGTCTGGTAGCCAGACCCGTAGCGGGTCACTCTCCTACCCTTGCCCACTAAAGACAAGATGACACAACGCAGCTTGGGGGCAGAGGTTTTTGCTTGCTTCTGTTGTGACTTGCCCCTTGTTGGCACCTGTATATAATATAATACCCAGGGGAGGAGGTGGAAGGAAGAGGGAAGATGAATGATAGAAATCTAAGAAGAGAGGGTGCAGGTTTTGTCTCAGATTCATGAGGCAATATTTAACCCACTGTGAAAAAGTCAACAATTGTGATGGATCATACGCTCAAGCTCATTTATTCCAATATATATAAAACATAACAGCGTGGTGCCTTTGTGTATTTAACATCTGTGGGGCCATAGGAAGTCTGTCTGGAAGGCAAGTCAATAGGAAATCTCAAGTTCAAGTTTTGGTTCCTTGTGTTTGATGACACAGATACCTGGAGGTTCCTCATACTGGTTCAGGGCCCCTCATTCCTTTCATGACATCCTAACCCGGATGGCTTGGGTTGGACTGCTATACTTGCCTTTACCTTGAAAACCAGATATCCGTGTAAAGATTGAAAAAGAAGGGAAGGATTGGAGGAAGCCTGAGAGAGAAAAGGGACATCCAACCCGCTCTCTCAGGTGTATATTCCTGCCAAACGTAGGCACTCATGAAACACCGCACTCGGATCACAGCCATTCATACGGTTTTCCAGATTTATAAGCACACTCCACAAAAGGTATTATTGAGGCATTTATCTACCTCATGCAACAGAATTTCCATCCTCCAGTAATGTACACAAAGCCAGGCAAAGTATCCTTGAACATTCTCGCAGACCTTCAAGAAAGGTAAAGAACATTTGGCCCAAGAGCCTGGAAAATACTTTATACCCCACAGAGAAACATAATGGGATTGTTTTCAAAGTGATTGTGACTCATAAACACAGTAGAGTTAGCAAGCAGTTTATATATTGCACGTAGTTAAGTGTTCATGCTAAAAGTTAATTTAGCTCTGGCCCATGTGACTGAGTTGGTTGGGAATCCTTTGGTCATGTTCCCAATCTGGTCATAGCCCAGGTTGCTGGCTGGATCCTCAGTAGGGTGCGTGCAGAAGGCAGCTGATTGATATTTCCCTCTCTCCCTTCCCTTTGCTCTCTCTCTAAATTCAGTAAAAACATGTTTATACAAATAAAAATGAATTTAATTATAATGAAAACAAGCAGTCCATAACTATTTTCTGCCAATTATGTGTCTGCTTCTGTTCTAGATGCTGTGATACACAGATAGGGTAGACATCCCTCTCCCTCAAGGTTCGTGTTAATACTGGCTGCTTTAAGCACCCTTGACTTACATAGGAAAACACAAAATTCTCAGGTATCTCTTACTCACAAATGCTACATTGTGACTAAAGTCCCCCATGGCATGCTCCATAACGCGCCTTGTTGGGATGTCCTAGCCAGTTTGATAAATCCATAATCTTGTTGTGTGAGAGAAGAGGAAGTTAAACATCTCCTGTTAAAATTCATGCTACATTTTGTAAATATGCCACATTTTTCTTTCATATTACTGTGACTTTCTTAAATCCCTCTACCCTTTATCTTTAGTTATTAACAATGCACAGTTTTTCATAGCTTAAAAATGTCAACAAAATTTATTCCATATAACTGTCAAAAGCATAAAAGGTAAGACCTGTAAAAAACAAACTTTAAAGATGATTTAGTTTAGCTCCCTTCTTTTGCCAGGGTAGAAAATTGAATCCCAGGGGATCCAAAGTCCTGCAGAAACGGTGGAGGTTTTAGGACAAAGACTGCCGTGTTCCTATTCCCGCTCCACATTATGTTTGTTTTCTTCCTGTCAGTGAATATCCCGAGTGAGCTGGAATAAATGCCTCCAACTACAGTATCAGTCTTTGACCTGTAAGAATTACAGAAATTGCTTCCCTATTACATTCTTTTTGAAAAAAGATTTTTGGTGCCATTGTTTGTATCCATCTAGATTTTTTTTTGGTTCATGATCCATATTCTCTGGCACTGACAAGAACTAACAAGACTGTTTTCATTCAGTGTGAGAGTTTTCTAAAACATTTTACTATAGATAGCTTTTAAAAATGCTTTTCTTGATTTCAGAAAGAGGAATGAAGAAGGTGAGGGAGAAGAGAGAGTGAAAAAAAACAAAAACAAACAAACACCAAACATCAGTGATGAGAGATAATCATCGATCAGCTGCCTGCCTACTGGGGATTGAGCCAGTAATTGAGGCAGGTGCCCTGACTGGGGAATCAAACCCTGACCTCTTGGTTCATTGGTCAACATTCAGTCACTAAACCACGGATAATTTTTAAAGGAAAACTAACTCACTTCACAAGAACTAGTATTAAACTGAAAAATATCATCATGGCACTAATAACCCTAACAGCTATTCTTTTAGTGCTTTTAGTTGGGCCAGACACTATCATGATTTGTTCATGATTTATTTATTTTATCCTGTTATGCAATAGATGCCATTATTACCATTTTTGTTTTATAACCCAGAAACTTGAAGCTTTATCTCTGCAACTTACTTCCTTAGAATTCTGTGAACAACTTGTTTAGCTGACTGAAGACTCAGAATCTGTCACTATCGGATGCATTGCCCAGTCTTTACCATTGTGCAGTTATCATAACTCCCTGAATTTTGAATTCCCCAAATTAATTCCCTACTTTGTTAGATACATTTCATATTAAAACAATGCTGTCAAAGTTCACTTAATTCATCAAGTAGCCCAAATAACATAATGTATCTATATTACATTTAAAAAATTGTCCCAGGCAGCATGGAGGGACCTGGAGAGTATCATGCTAAGTGAAATAAGTCAGTCAGAGAAAGATAAGTATCACATGATTGCACTCATGTGGAATCTAAGTAACAAAATAAACTGGTGAATGAACAGAGTGACAGAGTGGATCTAGGAAGGAGAGGGAAAACTGGAAATGTCCTTTGGCCTCAGGTTTCACAATCTAGTCTCAGTCCTGTCACCACAATGCTAATCTAGCCCGCCTAGTCCCCAGGAACCTTGGAGGCCCATAGTATGAGGGAGGTCACATGACTGTGCTTCTCCCCATGCTGACAGCTGTTGCCTCTAAAAGCCACCACCCTGAGCTCCTGACTAATTCCTGACTCATTGTAGACCATCCCATCAGGGATGCACCATTGCCTAGTTTAATCACCTACCCATCATCTTTAACTAGAGGTAACCTGTCTCAGTGGGTTAGCTCAATCCTCCCTACAAGGAACGTTTAACCTCACTGGGAGGCCTTCATCAGAATATTAATGCCTGACTCCAAGTTACTTCTTATGATTCGAAGTCTAGAACAACTTGACCTTCTAGAGTGGTTTCTACAATAAAAAGACCGATTTCATTGTTGCTCCTGAGATGGGAGATCTGGATTTGGGGAGATGTGTTCAGTGCACAGATGACAGTGTGGTCCGATAATGGTTTATCATTTTCTGGTTCTCTGTGTACAATAAGTCTGTTTTGCAAGTAGCTGGATTATTCCACAGTGCCCTCTGGAATTTCAAAACTTTACAGAGCTATTTTAACATGAGTATGGTCCCTTGGATGGAGCTCAAAGTCAGTGCAATCCGTTTCTCCCAGTAGTGTGGGCTATTCCAACACCTTTAACAAATCTCACCTTTTTTCTACTTACATGGCATTTTCTATCAGTATTGGACTATCAGAAATTAACAGGAGTAACAGTTACTGCTATTACAGGAGAGACAGGTAGAAAGACAGAAAAGCATATAGTACAAAGGCAGTGTAGCTTCTGCCTTCATAGGGAGTTATCTTTTGGCTTCATGTTCTTAAAACTGTATTTTTATCCTCTCTCAAAACACAACACACATGTTAATCCTTTACTATAACTGTCCAATTGTTGACTTATTCATAGTCAAAGGAATTAATAAACCAAAGTGCAGCATAGTCATTTACATGAGCAGTTTCTCATAAATTCTCATTTGTCTGTGGTTTTGGAAGTTTGTTTTGTAACTGATTTTTTATATCTTGCATAATCAGGATTCTGTAACTGAAAGAAGTAGACCTTAGAATGAGAGGTTTTTCTTTTTTCTTTTTTCCTGTGCTGATGCCAATAATGAATGGGGCTTACAAATACAGTTGAGTTTCCTCACCCCTCTGATGGTCCATACAATTCAATCCCATAAGTGTGTTTGGGGGGAAGGCCCTACTATGCGCCAGCCCCGCTGTGAGACGTTCAGTAAATATCTGTGGAGTCGAGAATAACTGCAGTGAAAGAGCATAACTGAACCTGCTCCACAGCATCTGTGACAGTGAGTTTGAAGAGTGGGAACTGGAGACGACTGAGCTTTCAGCTGATCACAATCAAATCAGAACACGTCAGAGCAGCTGGTGTTCTGTGACTCAGAATCAATCACCCAGCGTCGAAGCACCTCGTGCTTGCTCCGTTATTTCTCTTTACAGTTTCACGGGGGAGATTTAAACCAGCATATGTCCTTCCATTTGCCTAAATCCCTGCTTTGCTTTCATAGCCTAATGCCAGCACAGGAAACTGCCTGCAATATATATATATAAAAAAAAAAGTTAAATAAGTAAAGGCTAGCATTAAAATGATTTTTTTAAATGGATGTGGTTCCATTTGTGTGCAATAAACCATATGCTCAGATAGAATGCCTTAGAAGCAGTGCGGCATTTTAAGGCTGAATTCTGGGACAAGAATAATTCTGCCTCATTGACATAGAACCACGGTGGTTGCCAGTTTCCATCTAAGTTTGTAACTTTTAGTTTAGCAATTATACAAATGATGGCATCCTGGGGAAATCAGTGTGCAGTTTCTAAATGAACGTTCCCAGTTGTGTGTCCTGGTTTCTGACACGAGTTGTCGCTTTGACCCGACAGGAACCTCTGACACCATTCTTGGGCGAAGGCGATTCTGCGGTGGTGACCGCCTCCAATCGGACACTCTACAAACTATCGTCTCTGGACTCTCAGCTGACACCCTGCCGGAGGCAAGAGCTGCCAAGCCAACTGGAACTGTGCCTTCCCTGTTGTCAAGGCTCTTTTCTTACACAGGAAAAAGGAAGAAGAAGAAAAAGATGAAGTTGGGCAGAGTGGAGTTCTGCCACTTCCTGCAGCTGATCGCCCTGGTCCTGTGCTTTTCTGGGATGAGCCAAGCGGAACTCTCCAGGTCCAGCTCAAAGCCCTACTTCCAGTCCGGGAGGTCCAGGACCAAGCGCAGCTGGGTGTGGAACCAGTTCTTTGTGCTGGAGGAGTACATGGGTTCAGACCCCCTCTACGTAGGAAAGGTAGGGCATGTGGTCTTTTGGAGTCACTGTGATTACTGGGAATGTCCGTGCTTGGATGGAGAACTGCTCACTTATGCTTTGGGATTAGAGAACAGGAAACTCTCCCTCTATTGTCTTTAAATTATGAGCAACTCAAACCTGCTCTTTCTAGAGGTGGTCTGGTTTTGATAGATTTTTTTAAGATCTGTTTTTTAAAATTATTTTTTGGTTAAAAATGAATATGAACAGAAGTCAGTTAGAAGTGATACTAATTCAACCAATGGTGGGCAGTTTGTGGTGCATGTGTTAGCTAGCCCAGTGGGAACCAAATGGAGCTTTATTTTTCACAGCTCTGTTCTATTTGGGCGCGTTTTTCATTTGCGTGCCTTCTGCACGGAGGGGCTCTCAGGAGAATGGCCTTTCTCTCCCCATGCTCATATTGGGTCCAGTGCCTAGTGTGCTGCAGGGCTGATACTTCCATATTTGCAAAGGCTTCCTAAATTTCTCAATGATAAGCACTGGTGAATGTTTTCTTCATAGAGTCAGTTTTGACAAGAAATCTGTACACAGATTTCTGCGAAATCTATACATTGGCACTTGGTCAGCTTTAGTAGGCTTCTGTTCCTAATAAAGCTGATGAGTTTATCCCTGAGTGAATTTCCAACTTTGAATGATCAAGGAAGAACCTTCACTCTTATTTCATGGGATAATGTTTTCATTTGAACAACCCTTACATACAGGTGAAAATATGTTTTTGTTGATGGGTATCTATATAAGTCAAGGCGGTCTGTGTTGTATTTACTGTTTTCATTGAATGCCTCTGTATTTTAGAAATAATGATGGACATTGATTGAAAAGAGAAAGATTTGAGTGAGGAAGGTCAAGGTTTCTAGGTTATGGATTAGAACTTTCTTTTTTAGTCCAGCCATAGCTTTTTTTTTTTCACTAAGAAAAAATGTGTTAGTACACAAGTGTTTTTGTGCATATGTATCTTCATAGCCAGTACTATTTTAATAGTACCATCTTATACAGTGTACATGCACTAAATTTCTCTCTTAGCATTTTCCATTTTCTTATAAACAGAGAGCAGTCAGTGACCATTATGCATTGTTAATGACTAAGAATTTAGAGCTTAATTGTATTCATTTTTAATTAACATTTAACAAATTCATCAAACTTTTTCAGTGGACAGTTTTATAATATTCAGCTAATTCAGAAAGAATTAGTAGTGATTAGGTGATTTCACATTTTTATGAGAATGCAAAATTTTCTAAAGACAACTAAAATATTTCCATTAATTTGGTTTTAAATGGGGTTGTCACAGTGAGGTTAACACTTTGAAGTAAACATGACTTAAATTTTTTTAAAACACCCTTCTTGTACATTTTAGTCTACATACTAATTCAGAATGCTTGTATCTAAATAATCCTCACAAGTCAATTTAAAATTATGAAAATACATGCTGCTAAGGTTATTTAAATTTAAAATGCATATGAAGTTTTTGGGCAATGTTTTTGTTTTTCTCTGAAATTGTGGGGTTCCTTGATTAGATAACAGGAAATATTCTATGTTTCCCTTTCAGTTAATCAGAGACAATCACTTGGCAGATTGTATGGGATGAAAAACATGTTTGTGTTTATTTCTTATCTGGTGTATAGTGGGAGTTCCATACAGATGCTCACAGAAAATGTTCAGGATGCAAATGGGTTAAACATAAAAACTCTTTAAATGACTAAAATTTAGGGAAAAAATGCAGTAAGTTAATTTGAGATGGAGAGTTAGTGCGAAATATAAGGAATGATTCATTCCTTATACATAGAGATTTCAAATGCCAGAGAAATTGTGTGTGTGTGTGTGTGTGTGTGTGTGTGTGTGTGTGTGTTAGGCCTTTGAATTTGGATACCTTGGTAATAAGTAAATAACATTTGGTCATTAAGACATTGAGGATAATAAAGTCATAAGATGACTTGTGATCTTATTTTAGCCTATTTAGTGGGTTTATTCAACATGATAACTAAAGACCAAAGTAGAACAATTTGTTGAAGGGATCAAGACTGTTTGTAGAACCCAGTGGTTCTCAACCTTTCTAATGCCACGACCCTTTAAAACAGTTCCTCATGTTGTGCTGACCCCCTAACCATAAAATTATTTTTGTTGCTATTTCATAACTGTAATTTTGCTACTGTTATGAGTCATAATGTAAATATCTGTGTTTTCCAATGGTCTTAGGCTCTACAGCAGAAAAACACTAGCAGGGTCATGACCTACAGGTTGAGAACTACGAACAGGGTCGTCTAAGACCATCAGAAAACACAGATATTTACATTATGATTCATAACAGTAGCAAAATTACAGTTATGAAGTAGCAACAAAAATAATTTTATGGTTGGGGGTCACCACAACATGAGGAACTGTATTAAAGGGTTGTGGCATTAGAAAGGTTAGAAAACACTGATAGAACCTTCACCACAAGATCTCCAGGGCGTGGACTTCTGGGCTGTGTTAGAATCTGGCCTTTATCACGAGATTCTCACTCTTATCTGGTGATTTGAGTTGATAAACTTTTAACTGGAAAGGTATAAACTTAAGGAAAGAGTCATTAGTTATTACTCCGATGGAATTCTTTTAATTGAGTTATAATTGACATCTAACATTAGTTTCAGGTGTATAACATAACAATTCATCATTTGTATATATTGTGAAATGATCACCACAATAAGTCCAGTTAGCACTCATTATCATACATGGTTACAGATTTTTTTCCACTCTCTTAACATCTTGCAAATACACAGTGCAGTGTTATTAATGACTAGAGGCCTGGTGCACAAATTTGTGCATGGTGAGGTCCCTTGGCCTGGCCAGCAATTGGGGCTCTCTTGCCCAGTCCCAATTGGGACCATTCGGGCCTGCCGACCTGATGGAGGGACAATGGGAGGTTGGCCAGAGGAGGTTGGCTGTGCGAATGAACTGACCACCAGGGGGCAGCTCCAGCATTGAGCATCTGCCCCCTTATGGTCAATGTGCATCATAGCAACCAGTCCTTCACTAACCAGTTGCTTAGGCTTTTATATACACTGAGTGGTCAGATTATTATGATCTCTGAACACATAATATTCTGGCCACTCAGTATATATCCTATATATTATAATAAAAAGCTAATATGCAAATTGTCCCCTTGACCAGGACCAAAGTAGAACAGTTTGTTGAAGGGATGAAGACTGATTGTAGAACCCAGTGGTTCTCTACCAGCAGGCAGGCTGGCCAACTGCCCACGTCCCCCCAGGCTGTCTGGACCCCACACATGCACAAATTCATGCATCAGGCCTCTAATATATATACACTTAGTGGTCAGATTATTATGTGTTCTGAGATCATAATAATCTGGCCATTCAGTGTATATAGATAGTCAACATGCTGAATGGAGTTCTGTTTTAAAGAACAATAGTGCACCTTTCCCTAAGAGTGTTTCTTAGTTGCCATCATACCTGTCTCCTTGTCCTGTTATAGGAAGAATATGGTGGAATCCCTCCTTTCTCCCCTGAACTGACTGTTAATTCACAGCCATCTACAATATCTCATTGAATTGCACTGCACTTCTCTAAGTCCAGCTTTTTCCTCACCTTGGCATTTCTCACCTAATGTCCTCCAACTAGCTGACAAAAAATGTGTCTGCAAACCACCGGCCTCTGTTCCAGGCGTTAAGTGGTTTTCATCTCTCCTAACCATAATGGGCTGCCAGCGATTGCTGCGCTCTGGGCCATTACTTTCCCTGAAATGCGTGCTCCGTGCCTCTTCCACAGTCGGCTTCTCTAGCTGTGAACATCACTCTTGTCTTCCCTGCTACTCCTCTTTCTTCCCTGCTTATTCTGGGAGAATTTATTCATGTTACCTCAGTCAGCATCAGATGTGTAGACATTCAGTGTGGGATCCACTCAGCTTTCAGGTCAGCTTGCTGGAACGTGTTGGTGAGCATTCTTGATGCGGCCAATTACACCTCAGCAGTATCTCTCACCAAGAGATACTCTGTCTCCTGATAACTAAAGCTGGGCTCGGTGATCCAGAAAAGGAATGTTCCTCCTGAAAAGAGGTTGTGTTTAAAAAAAAAATGAGGTAGGAATTAGATTCCATAACAAGGCAGATTTATATTAGATAAGCATAAAGACAATAATGAAGCCCAAATATGTACTACTTGGTTAGGGAAAAGCCTACTCTTTATGGTAAGGTTACATTTTATAGATTATGGAGAGGAAAACCAGCAAAAGTGCCCTCTCAGTATGTAGATTACCTAAAGTTGGCACCTACCTTGGAAGAAAGCAATGGCAGTTTGTTTTTTCTTATGCATGTGTAGAAATCCTATTTTCACAATAGCCTTGTAACCAGCATGCATTGTGAAGACCCTTGTTCTTACCTTGATACTTTGCAATAGAATGGCGTAACTCCTAGAGGGAATTTGGGCGTGGGTCAGCTCTATGGGATCTAAATAAGTTAAGATCCTTAGACATATGTTTTGGCAGGTATTCTTAGCTCTTACTATACTTCCGTATACTAGTAGCTCTAAAGTATTCAGTGTACTTTCTCCACATAAAATCAACAATTCAGTTTTTGTTTGGTTTCTTTTCAACCCTAGCAAGAATAATACATGTGATTTTGCCACTAAATTGCCCAAATTTGCCATAAATTCAGTTTAATATTGCCAGTTTTCTCTTCAAAGTTATCTGAGGTTACAAATGGAAGTTATCGTTACCTAAGGCTTCATCCGGTGAGACTGCATAACTGCATGCTGGAGGAGAGGGGCTCACAGTTATAAACCTAATTAAAAACTAGGGCATTTAGATTGGCTCTGAATTTGTTGATTGTCTATCCACATTGATCAAAAGCACTTTAATATTTTTTATTGATTTTTTACAGAAAGGGATAGAGAGTTAGAAACATGGATAAGAGAGAATCATCAATCAGCTGCCTCTTGCACACCCCATACTGGGGATGTGCCGGCAACCAAGGTACATGCCCTTGACTGAAAT